AAAAAAGGCAGCAGAAAATAATACGCAGGTGGACTCTCTCTCTCTCTCTCTCTCAACAATAAAATTTCAAGAGACCAGAAAAAAAATAATTCGACGGAGTTTTGTAGCAAGGAGCACACTTAACATGAGAAAAAACCCTATGGGACAAAAAAAATTGTAATGCAGAGAAAATCATTGTAGAGAGAGTACACCTGTATAAGAAAGGAAGAAACTGAATCCGCGGGACTGTATTGACAGGTGCAAGTGCATTTTTTTGTCTGTGTCTGATTTTATTTTCATTTAATCAAAAATTTCTGCTGGAAATTCTGAAAATTTGTTAATGAATCTGGAAGTTATTGACACATTTTTTCATGCAAAGGGAGTGAGAACGTATTTGGAGAAAAATTTTACTATGTTGTCTGAAATATTTTTGCAAGCAGATTAGCCTATACAGTAAAATCTTGTTATAACAAATGCCATTATAACATAGTTTTCAGTATAATAAAAACTTTTCCCAATATAAATCCTGACAGGAAGCCTATAGGATACATGCATGATACGGCTTAGAAAAAACTTGAAGTCAACAGAAAGTGCTAGTGTTCATCTGTTTTTCAGAGTAAGTGTTTATTATAGTCACATTTGAATGTATTTTCCTTGAAATCACAGTTTTTAAAACACTAAATATATCTGGGAAGCCAAAAGAGGGAGATGTAGAATATTTGCAAGTATAATTTACAAAAAGTTTTCGAAACAGTCAATAATTTTGAAAATATCATTCTAACAAATGTTCTGTCATGAAAAACTTGTTATGAAGTCCCAACAAGTTTGTTGTAACAAGATTTTATATTGCTGTTTTTTTTGGTCATCCAATTTTCACTTAATCCTTCAAAAAAGGAAAATCTTGTCAGTCTATTTTGAAGAACTTCAAAATTATGACTATATATGAACACATTGGAGATGAATCTGATTTCCAGAGGAAGTTACATTGAAGCATTTTCCACAGGATTGTTTTGTGGTTTTTTAACATCGGCAGTTTTACGAAGGATCCTATAGGGGTCTGGGGGAACTTCATGGATGTTGTCTAACGTGTGTCTGTGGCCTAGGTGTTGAAAAAAAGTTATATGACCCCACGTCATCTAGGTCCAATGTCAAGTGCATGTCAACTGGCGGCAGCCAGTTGAGGCATAGTTCATGGTGCAACAGTTCCCGGTTTGAGTCCGGCAGCAGTCAGAAATTTTCTCAGCACAATCTATACAAGTAACTTGAAGTAATTCAATAATACTGATTGAATTTTTTGATATCAGGATTAACCAGTTAGACCTGGAAGAGAGTGAAGGAGAAAATTGACCAGTTGCTGCCATTTCCTGTCTTCAGACAGTATGGTGTTAGTTATCAATAAATGAAGTTGTGTATTGAAAAAATTATAAGTGATCAACAATTGTGGATCTTTGTGATTGCATGGGGGATACTCAGCTGAAACAAGACAAAAGTGACCCCCTTGCATTTCTCTACAACACCTTCTTTAAAATTTGAAAAATTTTACGAACTTCTTCAAATATTCTACTAAATGTTAAATGTTACTGCAGCGTGGATCCTTCTCATCACAGTATTGCAGTGCAGATCCTGATGGATCCGCGCTGCTGTACAACAATTCCTCCTTGTACAACATCTTCCTTGTGATTGGCCGTGGTATTCAAACCACAGCCAATCACAGCATCGCACTTGAAGATTGAAAAAAATTGCAGACTCATTCAAAATTTCCAAACACACACAATGAGTTTACGAGCTCAAGAAACACATGACTTGTCACACGTTTTTAGACGCAAACAAATTAGGTAACACGCGTAAGATTCAAAAACAAATTCTACACGGAAAAGTATTTTTCTTCAAGGCTCAAGCATGGTTTTTAAATTTTTTTTACACAATCTCAAGAATTGCAAATCTTTGCACACCTTGATCACTGACTAAAGCAAGTCCGTTGCTATCATTTCTTCTTTTATAGCAGTAAAAATAGCACAATTTATCTCGTGGCATTTTTTAAAAAGCTGCGAGATAAATGGCAAGATTAATAATGATATAATATAAATCATAGATTTATAAAAGATTTACACTCGGTGCACTGCGGATGCTCTACTACTAGTTTCTGTATCTTGAAGGATTCGAATACAAAGAAACTTAATTGATACTTCAAAATGTTGTCCGGATGAATGAGGTGTGTGTCAAAATGTGTCAGCAATTCAGAACAATATAATGAGGAACCTGTTTTTAAGAAAAATGTGCTCTGGTTATTTTAATGACAGCAAATGCCGTGTTTTCTCAATTTGGAAATTATTATGCCAGCTGAGGCAAAGCAGCTTGTTTGTGTGGATTTGCCGAGGAAAATTAAATTATCCTGTTCTACAGCATATGCCATGCTTTTATGGAAGGTCATTTCCCCACTTTCCACCCCAATAATTTATTCATGGGCTCATTATTCGAAAATCAAAGGCCTTTCTCATGATTCAACTTGGGAGAACATCCATTTTCGTCATATTCTCTTCGCCTATGGAACTGTTACGCCACATCGAGTCTGATTAGTTTCAGCTATAATCAGGCAAAATTTCGTTTACTCAGCTCTCATTAGAGAAACAGTAGATGTCACTACTGGATAATCAATGAATTCTGTGATATTTCATGGAAATTCGTTCACTCGATCCAAGCGAAGGACCTCAAAGCTGAGATAAAAACCCTGCAAAAACAGTTGGAACTACCATCTAGCAAAAATTTCGAGTCAAACTGCATTCAATTCAATAATATTTTCTATATATATGATGCCTAATTTCATAACTTGCAATACCCTGTTCTAAAATAAATTAGCATCATTTGAATAAATTACTGCTGTAAAACGCTACACATACTTCATCAGCACGCACTTCCTTGAAATGACTATATTCATCGTACACATGTACAATTTTTTGAAATTATAAAATATTGCAAAATATACGGATTGAAATGTAAGAAACAATTCTTGAATTTGTTCTGCGCAATACAACTCATTATATTGGCAGTATCAGCAGTAGGTTGCTTGGAATTTTTAGAAAGTGTATTTTTCGATCAAAAATGAATTTGATTCTGAAACCTTGTATTACAAGTTGAACTTCTTCGATGACGAAAAACGTTCCCTGTCATCAATAATTACGGGATGGAATTTGATATCGTATTTAGATAAAAATTCCTTTCGAATGCTTATATATATTCAATGCAGAACCACAAAGCTATGAAAGGAAAAAAACATTTTTATATTGACTCACTGAGTCACAATCAAGCCATTTTCTCCTGTGATCATCGTTTCTCTCAATTGTTTCTAACAAAGATTGAAAAAAATGTCCTTTATCAGAATGGAATCGACTCGTGCATTCGGTCTTATCGGGTAATCGCCGACCTGGAAACAGTGGCTTTGAAGAAACACAAGAAGCAACAATTCGAATTTTTTCTGCGTCGCCATTTGTTCCGTGATGAAAACATCGACAGTGATGAGATGAGAAAGAAAAAAAAATCCGAACACGTATTTGACACCTCTATAATGCTGCTGGATTTTTGTCAAACATTGGTGCAATTCGCTACTCGATCGAAACCCGGCCCCCGTGATTTGAATTATAGTGATTCATCAGACCTACTTGAAAATGTTCAAATCTTTGATGAAGATTAAAATTTGACAATCAGGAGTATCACGAGGAAAAAGTTTGGAAGAAAGTTGTTTCCTGGAAATTAATTATACTTATTGCGAGGATACGTGTCAGTGGATCTCCAGAGATCAGATAACTAATATCTTCAAGATGCTCTGAAAACCTGGTTATTCGAAAGAAAGTTTCTTAACGATGAGGTCATATCAGGTCTGTTCATCAGAACCTATTTTGGAAACGAGTTATTCCTTTCATTGCAAAATATTTCAAACCTTTTATGAATTTGCAGACAAGAATTATTTGGGGCATAACGAGGAAGCGGAGATGAAAGTCAAGGGTTGTCTAGAATTATTTTGAGTGACGAGTTGGGTTTCCTTTTTCATCTTCTTGTGTATCAATTACTGGAAAAAGCAAAGTTTTCAGAAAGTTTCATCCTGCATTCGGCAAGAATTATCCATGCAGATAATTTAATGAGGGAAATTAAAAAAGTTTCTCCTTAATTAGACTGTTTTTCTCAAAGAAAACTTAAAAAAAGACTCTTTGGAGATTGCTCCTTTGAGCGAGATTTTTGCTTACGTAATTAAAATCTACACATTTTGGTAAGAATTATGGAAATACCACTTTGTATTATATTTCGGAAATCGTGATTTAATTTTTTTTTTTTTAAATATTGAAGATTATTTATTAACATTTCAGAACTCGCTCTCATAATTTTTCGATATGATTCCATTCTGCTAATTAAATTTCTGCTTCCATCTGTATTTTTTTGGAATATATCTGATTTAAGAATATATTTCATTTGCTTGAACAGCGGAGGTTGAGGAAACATTCAAAACTTTTCCTGGAGAGAATGATTTTTATTCGACAAAAAATGTTCATCATAATCTTTTTTGTGGATTTCTCAACGAAAAAAATTTATCTCACCGTTTTTCAAGGGAAAATCTCTTATTGTCTTATGGTGCATATATTATAAGTATTTTGTTGAATCAATCTGATGTTCTTAAATAGTTTTCATTGAAGGACTTTGTTTTAAAATCGGGAGCTTCCGAGGAAATATTCACAATTCTCAGAAACCGGGAAAATTCTCAAGATCTTTTCCAAAATCGAGTCCAATTATCCCAGTGAATGAATGTCAGAAACCGGGAAAATTCTCAAGATTTTCTTCGAAATCAAGTCCAATTATCCAAGTGAATAAATGATTGTTTTTCTTGGTATTCAATCTATTCTTCACCATGCACTTTTTTTTTTATTTCACTCATGAAGATGGCGTGAATTTTCCAGAGAACCGTATCCATTTGGACTCGCAGTGAAACCCTAAAAATATTCCGTATCCACAAAATGGAGCGGTTCAGAAAAATCATGGGCCGATCTTCGACGTCGTCGACATCATCATCATCATCGACGTCGACGTCTCATCGCACATCGGGGGTTGCATTGGACAGGAATGCTACTGGCCATGCTGGTGCTGATTCTTCCCAACAGGTGAATGAAAAATTCAATGACCTATATTTTGACACATGAAATTTCAATTTGAAACAATTGAATGAATAAAAATCGCATTATGGCATCACCTTGGCTATTATGAACACTATATCAATAGATAAATATGCTTTATTTGCCACTTCTCAGCATTCACAAGGTTCAGAAAATTTTGCCAACACAACAGTTCAGACAAATGCATTAATTCTTGGAATGGCACTTATCTTTGAGAAAACTGCATGGTATAGTTATACTTGGCAATTAGTGAGCAAAATTTAAAGCACAAGGCATTCAGCCTGCTCCCCAATAATCATCAATTTATTGAACAATTTAGAAAGGATGTTTGACCTGCTGTACTACCTGAAAGACAGCATTTTTTAAAATTCTGAAGATACACGTATTATAGAGAATAAAATGTTAATAAAATTGAATTCCCCTCTGTTTCAATTTATTACGCATGCCACAACTCTCTTTGGGATGAGATAAGAATTATAAATCTCTCCCTTTGTTGAAATATGTATTGTATTCTTTATCAGGAAGTACTGTTTAGAGTTTGACTGTTTAATACTTTAATGGTTATGTCTGCTGGGTTCAGTTATTCTCTCATTCATTCTCAAAGCAAATTATTCTGTCAGTTGGAAGCATATCTGACTTCAACAGTTTGTATCTGTATGAATTGCAGAAGCAATTGAAGCTTGAAGATTATGTTTTTCCATTGTCAATTCCTCAGGTCAAATGACTATTCCATATGCAATCAGACCGTAACTCCTCATTTTTTCACTTGAATTTTAAAATGCTTTGATTCCTGCTTGGCTCTTCTATCCTGCTGAATATTTGCTGATGAATAGTTCGCATTGTTTTCTTTAGCATTTCACATCCATGCTCTAAGAAAAACCTGCTGTACTAAAACATGAAAATATATCCATGAAGTTGAAAACACGGTAGCCTACAATACATCCCACCACATCAAAACAGATTTATGGTTTGGGAAATATATCAAGAATTTATTTCCCAAACATGTCTTTGCCCTTTCCTGATCCAGCATAAATCACCACAGCTAATGAATCACTGCATGCAGATAAGAAAAAGGTCAATCGTTATCTTTCATAAAATGAAGTGGGTGGAGAGAATGATGGTTTGAATTTGCAAATGCTCAAAATATAGTGGGTTGGTGCTTGATTGTTGCTGTTTTTCTGCTTGGAGTTCAACAGTGCTCAACAAAATTTCGAGAATTTTAAGAAAATAGCCAATTATATGCAGCAACCAAACATTCTTTTTTCAAAAATTGAGTGGTCTTAACTTGGATTTCATACACCAAGCCGCTGTTGACTATGAAATTGTATTTGGTGGTATTGTATCATACTTTTAGAAGGAAAGACTGCTTACACTTTCATTCCACCTTTTGTTGATTCCTTCATCATAACTAAGACTGCTTCACCTGATAGTACTGATTTACAGCTGCCATATAAAAGGCACAAATACCGCAATTTTGATGAAAATGTGACATGAAACCAGCTTGTCACACTTTTTCAAGATTCTTTTTGGGACAAAGATTCCAGCAAGTGTTGGGAGTGAAGCCACCTAAAAGTTGATAAAGCTATGGATTTAGAAAGGGATAAAACAACTTGAATCATGCAATTCTCTTGGAAATATCAATTAAAAGCTAGACAGAAATGCGGAAGATAATAATTTCTTTTGTCAAAACAAAATCCATATATTGAAAGTAACATGAATGAATTGATAAAATTAAGTCACACATACACACACAAACTAGTTTTGTGCACCTAATACAGTATTGTAACAATGAATCTTGTCAGAAAATTGAAACATTGAGATGTCTGCCCAGGAGCTTTTTTGTTCAAGAATCGCCTCATTAGTATGGTAGTACTGTAGCTTATTTTAGCAATACTGTAGTACTGAATTTTTATGAGCCGCCATCCAGGAAAATAATTTTGGTTTGATCATGGTGATTCATAATTTCACAAAATGTGTTGTCACGTGTAGCTTCCATTATAGGACATCGAAATTCAGCATATAACAAATCTGCGGGTTTCTAAGTTGTGAATAACAATTATTCTTTGCTGTGTTTCCGATAGCTAAATAAAATTGAGGAATCCTTGTCTACTTCTTCGAGGTTCAGGATGATTTTGTACCGAGTGCCGAATGCTCTAGGTTCATTTAATGCAATTTTCACAAGTTTTATCATACATTTGAAAATTGTGAATTCAACGTGGATCAAAAAACTGTCAAGTATAAAGGCCGCCATCTTCTTGAGTTATAGAGTATCATACATTTGGTTTGGCCTCTTACCTTGTATAAAAAAAAAAATATTGACAGAGATGCTATAGTTGAGATGAGAATAAGCCAGCCCACCTCAATAAAAAATTTAATTTTTTCTCAACTCAAATAAGTCACCAGATTTTCACAAAATTGTCTAAATTCGGCTCTGATTGGTCTTCTTCTTTTTTTCCTGCGTGAATAAAATAGCAGGACCAAGGGTATCTGACTCATCACCAGCAAGGGAATTTGATATTCAAAGAACTGGGCAGACGCAAGGCCCCACATCCACCATCATCCTTTGCAACCCGAATTTATCGCGAAGAGGAACAACGAAGGAGTCTTGAAGTTCAACAACAACAACATCATCATCACCAGCAACAACGTCTTCCAGATGTTGTTCGACCTGCAGCAGCCATGCAACACACTCATCATAATCCAGATTACCCAGCAATGGATGATGCTGATATTGCAGGATTCATGGACGAATTCGATGCCACGCTGCAAGTGTACGAAAATGAATCAGGAAGTAATAATGAAACCCATGGGAACCCAACTGAACCCATCAGTGGGAACAGAAGCAGGGATTATTCAAGAACTGCTGCTGCTGCTGGTGACCAGCAAATTAGCAGGGATACACCCATCAGCAACACCCCGAAGCCAAAACCCAGGCCGCAACCCCGCAGAACCTGAGCATTGAATGCATTCCCTGGCTATAATAAATGCATTATAGTTATACTTATTGTTGAATTAAAAAAAGTGATTTGTCTTGAAAGTAGGACTGGGTTCTTATAAATAGCTACGTTTTCTGCAATTTTCAAATTTCTTTGAAAAAAAAGAAGCTCAGTCATACACTCACACTTGAAGCCTGTTATGATTATGCTCTTATATTGCAACACTGCTTAAAGCTAATACAGTCAACCACCACACAACAGACTTAATTTGGGAAATAGACCAGTTTGTTGTGTGAAAAGTCTTCTATGTAAATTCAATTATTGAAAAATTGAATTTTTACTTTTTAAAATCATCTTTAAACCAACATAAGTCTGATATGCAGATTTATAGTCTGTTGTGCAGGAGGGAAAACTGAATCCAGAGCCATTCTATTTTGCAAAAATCTGTTGTGCAAGAGGTCCATTACTGTGCTGGGGTCAACTGTGTACAGTATATATGCTTACAATATTACAAATATTAAAAACAGACGGAGAAAATAAAGCATACTCTATATTCCAGGGTTAAAAAATCCCTTTGAAATCAGGACTGAAATCCTCATTGAACCCCTTCAAGTCATATAGAATGCATTTCAAATAACTTATGTATTACAGTTCGTATAGGTGGTACCTTGCAATTGAACAACCGTGCAATATGTCCATCCCACAATTTGCCGGCCAAATTTGCTGGGAGGTCAACTTGCAATTCAATCTCTGCCCCTCAGTTTGACACACATAGAGGCACAGAACATCATATGTGATGTAGAAAACATTGCATTTGACATTGTCTTGCTATTTGACTGCTTCACATTTTGATCCTTGTCCAGCAAAATGAATATACGTGTACTTTATTAATATATTCATATATTTATAATATTAATATATCAATAACAGTGCAGTAATATAAATATACATGTGGTAATATTAATTACCACCTGCTTACAATTCCTTGATTTTTCAGATCATCCTGAATGATTTTACCATAAAATTAAGGAATGGAGGCTTTATCCCAGAATTTTTATTCTGCATTATGTGCATGTTCAAGCAAATCCTGTAGCTGACTGTCTCTATGTCATGATTGTGCTGTAATAATGAAACAGTGTTTGAAGCTAATATATATGCCTATTACAGGTATCAAAAACGGTCAGTGAAAATGAAACATATTTCAGGGTCAAAAATCCCTTCGAAATCAGGACTGAAATCCCACGTGACCCCTTTCAAATCGTTTTACTTTGCATATATACTGTAGACACAGGATATACGGTGTATGATGGAACCATCATCAAAACGGGCAAAAAATAATCCTCCGTATCAAGAAATAAGATAAACCAAACGCCGACCTCCCACGTGACCTCTTGTACGCACTCCGAAAGCAATTTATTCACAAAATTATGGCTCAAAAGATCTCGAGCGAGTCGCCTAGCTTGACGGCTCGCTATCAAAATGCATCCATTCCAGGTTTCCTAAGCACCCAGCTAGAATCTCTCCTCTCAATGACGGCTTTTTGCAATTATAATTCGTCATCTGGTTCTCGCACGTGCGATTTTCCGCGCGCCCCCGAGAAAATGAGCTGCGCGCCGCAAATCCGGTCGCATGCTCTCTCATAATTGAGGTGATTATGCTAATTAAACGCGTGAGCATGACGAAACACTGTCTGGGAAATTCAATACGAAACGCTGTTTGAAGATTGCTCTGGCTTATTTTTATTTTCTTGGGTAAATAGCGCTCTTCAGGTGAACCGATATATAGTCTGACATTATGGAAACATTTTCGCTCTTCGTTCGTATAAAATATTGCGATCAAAGAGCTTTTTAGCCCTCTGATTTTGACATATCAATAAAAGAGCATAATTCGGACAAACAACAGCAGAAAATCATGGCAGACACACGTACAAGATATCTCAAAAATGCGTCTGCTGCAATGTTGATTAAGGAAAAGGTTTCTGAAAATGATGCTAAATGAAGGAAAATCTTTCGAATTTCCAGACTTGATTGAATGGAAGGCAATGAAAGTAGCAGCACGAAAATTGAAGCAAAAAGTCAGATGAAATTTTTTTACCGGTTCTCATTTATAATGTTTTCTTTCTGGGATTATAAAAACAATCACCACATGATAGTGGAACATTTCAACATTAGGTCAAACAGTTATGAGATGAAATATGCAAGTGGTTCAGGATAAAAATATGTCAAGTCCCAAAGTACGTAGTTTCATATGGAGGAGAGGTTGGAATAGAGTCGTGTTTCCTTGATTGTATGAAAAAAATCATTCAACATAATCTGAAAAATCAAGGACATGTAATATACACAGTGTCATTATATGCTTACATTTTCAAATAATTTATGCAACTTGAAGGGGTCACCAGAGATTTCAGTCTTGATTTTTGAGGAATTTTTTGCCCTGTAGTATTTTTTTTATTGCCTTTAGCATCTCTACAAGCAATGTACAAGCTTTAACCCTTGGGCGGCAAAGTGGGACGTTTTTTCAGAAATTTTGTTGGACCTCATCAGAGAGGTGAAGAAAAAAATGTCAACAGGGGGTTAAGGGAAAAGTTGGGAAAAATAAATCCCAATGTTTTTTTCCCTGGGAATGGAAAATTTTTGGGGGAAATAAAAAAAAAATCAGTTTGTCTACTTGCTTTTTTGGATTTATCCCAACTTTGCCTCAGCCCACCTAGAAGGGTTTTCATGACCTTCAAAATTATGAAAATATGGGAGGATACAAAAATAATCCAACTCCACCCCACTATGCAAAAGAACCCTCTGCTGTCCAAGGGTTAAAGTGTGCTTCATTAATGTTGGGCAAGCGCACTGCACAATCATTATTGAATATAAATTCCTAGAAATCATAAATTACTTCCCCCTCCAAATAATTGCAGTGCCAGGTACTTCCTGGCACCATAGCATCTTCAACTCTGAATTCTTGACCAATTAACAGTCTTTCCATCATATAAAGCAGAAATCAGTGAAGGTTGAATATCTTTGAATATATAAGCAGCTCATGTTTGATCATATCATCATCACCAGTTCAGTTGAGTTGTTCTCTAGCCAATTTATGCTAGCTGTGAGAAGAGTTTGCTGAGTCATTTATTCAACTATTTGTTTGAAATACACTTTAATCCATTAACTTAGGATTCCTAAAAGGAATTTCCAGTCCTGTTCCAGACTGATTGTTGTGTTTTATTGCAATACTTGACATCAACTTATATTGCGGTGACAAACTGTTCCCAAGAATTAAGCAAGCATATTGTCATAAAAGAGACAGTTAAGTACTTGTCAATGTACTTGAACATGCACAAAATTGCAGCAAAAGTTCTGATTGTTGTCTCAACCATGGAAATATTCTTTTCAAAATCTTAGCAACCTAGATAATCTGTTAACCTTATATTATTTATCATCAAAAATTCTCTCCAAATTGTTTAATCAACTAAACCTTCTCTGGAAGCAGGCTGAACACCTTGTGCTTTAATTAGGGTTTAGTAATTGCCTTTTACTGCACTTCTTATCATTAATATTTTGCTTTTGTTATCAAGGGAGGGAAGAGAGTGTATAAATTTACATCAGTGTGCAATTGTACATTTTGGGATGTACCGGTATTTCCTTTTTGATGATATCCATAACTAGCTTGTTTCTCTGTTTTCCATTATGATGTAATGGAATGTGTTTGGTTGAATCAAGGGGGGAATGTTACTTGAACCTTGTGAATGCTGAAAAGCTGAAAATAAAGCTTGCTGTTCAATTCAATTCAATTCTTCTTGAAAGTTCAGCAATTTTTTTCAGTTCTGTTAGGATTGGCTGATGTTTGAGTTGCAGCTGTTGTTTTTTGCAGCAGTTTTTCAAGTCAATGCCAAATAATTTTTAGTAACATTTTTCTAAAGTTGAATCCATATGCCCCCAGAATTCACCTTTTCATGCATTTTTTTTGCCAAAAATCGACTCAACCCAATCCACTCATCCTCAATCTGAGCAGGATAAGTTTGGAACAATGTTCCAATTAATGTTCAAACCGCATTTTGGCGGGGAATAATGAACGTGATTATAGAGAAGGTGTACGAATTCGGTGCCTGATTTTCTGTGCAAAGTCATCTGCAGGCGACATTCAATCATCCATAGGATATACGTTCTCTAGAATACGATCAACGGCTTTATTCCTATCCTTTCCTATATACGTCATCAGCCGCCTTTCGAAGGATTTCTGTGTGGGGCGGCTTTTGGATGATAAGAACCCAACTGCTGATGCGGGCTTATACTGATTAGGCCCTTCCGAAAATGTGGGGAATGACACGTGCTTCCACGGTGATTGGCACAATAATATCCCAGAAAACAATTGCATGAAATTCAGAGGGTTCGTTTTCATAATGGATTCTCATAATTCAGTGGGACCCCGACATGCGGACAACGCGATTTGGAACCAATAAATACGAAACCAAAAATTCCCCCGACATCTGGAAAATGATGCTTAGCCAACAGAACATCCAGAAGAAATGGGGGACCATTATTTTTTTAATATACTGCTTCTGGAGCAAATCAAGCTATTTCTCTTCACAAAAATTGGAAATTTAATAATAAAAATGCTTAAATTCATAATCAAAGATAGGCTAATTTTGTGATATTTTTTTCAGTTTCTTTTCCATAAAATTTTTGCCAAATATACAGGTGGTCCTTCACCATTTGACAGTTAAATTTGCTGAGAGGTTGACTTGCAATTTCACCTATTGAGAGGCACAAGTTGTCCAATTTGATGATGCTGAAAACATCAAATATGACATTGTCTCACAATTTGACCACATTGAAATTTGACCCTAGCCTGGCAATGGATTAGGGTTGAATTTCAGGGTACCATGTGTAACTTCTTGTTCTTTGCTATCTGAGCTCTTTCTGCTGCCAAAAGATCTTTTTCTGCATGATTTTATTCTGCAAAGTTATTTCCTGTATACTCACAGGTGGTACCTTCCAATTCAACGTTTTGCAATTTGACCATCCTGCAATTCTACTGTTTAATTTGCTGGGAGGTTGACTTGCAATTTAAGCTTTGCCTTGCAATTTGACCTCCTTGAACCATTTTCTGGTTTTTTTTTCTTTTTGCTGCTGCTTCTTAATTTTACAGTGTCTCTTGAAATTTGACCCCTTTATAATTTGACATGAGTCTGGCAACAGATTAGGGTCAATTTGTGGGGTACCACTTATATTGAGGTTGATGAAAATTTGTATTCAATTTTTCGGGCCCCCTATTCCAAGTTTTTGATGAACTTCAGAACCAGCAATCGAATATGTCCCCGTAGAAGTCTCTTCAGTGTATATCTATTTACTGTTATGTATTATCAAGTGTGCAGTATATTTATTGTTTTATTCCAGCAAAGATTTCTTGGAAACCATGCAATTTTTTGTATGTGTACAAAGCAGCAGATGCCACAAATTTATGTCCTTAGCAACATGCATTATTCGGAATAAACCCTCATTTTCTTGCTTTTTTATAAATCTTGTACACTGTCCTGATGCCATTTGAGGATGAACGAATATGTTTATGCCTTTGGAGACTGTCTTTTTTGAAATGGGTACCTTCTTATCTACACAGAAAAATTTTGAGAGAGCAAAAAAAAAAAGTTTTTTGGACGCTGGTTTGTTTTTTTAACTTTCCGTCGAACTTTTTTTTTATCGATGAATGATCCATGCTGGAAGAAAATAACTAAGATGATGAAGAAAATAACTAAGACGACGTCAAAAATGAATAAGCCATAAGATCAAATATTTTTTCTTTTCTTTTCTTTCTTCCTTCTGTGCACCGTTTTTGATTTCCTCGTCGAATCAGCACACTTAAGTCCAGTCCAAAACCGAGGTTTCTTTCTTCTTCCATATGATGTTCCGACCCACGAACGAATATAGTCAACGGTGTTTTTCTCCCCCGATTTCTGCCTCCGTTCAAATATTTTCGTTTTAATTTGTCTTTTTCCCGAAACACAGTATATTCCGCGCGAAACAGCAAATTGTGACAGGAAATGACATTGACGACGCCTTAAATCAGCACCATTCTCATCCTAATCATGGGAGAAAAGATTTCCAACACCAATAATCCACGATTTTAAGCCAACGTTTTGAAGCGATCAGAAAAAAAAGACGCCGTAAAGAATTCCTCGAGTTTTATGAGGGAGAAATAAAAATAAATATTTCGACAGGGACAGTTTTTTTTTAATGAAGCAATATAAGTGGCAATGCTTTAAATTGGCACAAGGGACGACGTTTTTTTGCTTCTGCGAAAATTTGTACGAATTTCTGCTTGAGTTTTTTAGCCAACATACGTTGCTTCAATGCACGATTTAATCGTCTAACATTTCTTTACTGCTTTTGACTATATTTTGAAGCGAACACCAAAGTTCCACACCGAGATTCTGAATTACTCTTTTCTTTTTTGAAAATGTTCTTTTTTTGGATTTCCGGATATATTTTTTTCTGCATTTCTTCTTTTGTTGCATGACGGATTTATTCTTCTTTGGAGGAAGTTATTACGGCTGTGACTGGGCTGACTGTGGCCGAGAACGAGGTGTCGGGGTCGTCATTGACGTTGTTGCCATCGTCGTCGTCGCCGTTGTCGTCATCGTCGTTGATGCTGAGTAGTTGGTTGGTGAGGTCATTGTCCGTATTAACGATGTCGTCGTCAGGGATGGAAATTGCGTTACGTTTGCCGAAACGGAGTCTCGTAGCGAGTCTTTTGTAGACGTCGGAAGGAGCAGCGAAAAACACTGGGTCCGGGCCTCGTTTGCCGAATCGCATACGCACGGATTTAGTTCCTTCGGATCCGTCGAATGACGAGGATTTTTTGCCGAACCGCAGTCTGCTGGAGGATTTCTTCCATCGACCTTGTTCATTCTCTGCTATTCAACAGAATTTTTTTGTTTGTTTTTCAAATGAATAAAAAACAGGGATGGAATGTCATTAATTAATTGTATGTACAAGAGAAACACAGACCGGAGAATCACATGCATGCTGATGGTCTCCGAAAATTCAAATTAATCACCGAGCGTGCGAATTTCGACTCAAAACCTGTGTCGGTGTCAAAATGACTGTATTCGCGTTGTGAGTGGACTGTTTTGCAAGGGTGACGAAGTCAGAGGCTAATTCGCTAATTAACTTGGCAAGTTAAATATCAAGAACAACAAATTATTGGTCAGGAAATGGCTAAATATTAGTCTAATAACGCCAAAACGAGTCCATCCAAAACAGCAACAAAGCGCTGTGCAAAAAAAACCGGCATCCTACAATCAAGTTGTGTATATATTTTTTATAGTTTCTAATCGAAGCTTACAAGGAACGGTGAGATCTTAGCACATCAAAAACGGGCAAATTCTAAAAACAAAAAATGGAGTTCCCAAAGTTGAATTTTCCATTTATGAAAAAGTGACGAAAAATTTTCATTTCACTTCAGCAGAACCTCTAATGGTCTACATTCCGCCATCGCTTTGTCACTCTTCTTCAAAGTAATGGTTGAAGAAAAATCTATATTTTTTGTTTCCCTGACAAATTTTCAGCACCCTAATAGTCAGTAGTGGACGTGGTTCGAGAAATCAGGCTGTGTAATAACTGCATGGAATGTGCTTAACGTACTGTATTATCATCCAGTAAATTGCATTTTTTCACACCCCAAAATAAAATTCCATAACCCTAGATGATCGTGGGCTTCGTCACGATTTCTTAATTATTTTTTCTACAGTCAAACTTACTCTAAAAAAAATCAGAGTCCACGTCCAACTGGGACGATAACCCTGGTATTACTGGCAGCCTCATTTCTCTCCAGAAACTTCAAATTTTATTTTTTTAAAGCTTTCACAGGGTTCATATCATATACACACGGTAGAATAAAATGGAAATGTGGCCCAGCTATCGATAAAAAAAATTTAAAAGAAGGGTACCTTCGTTATCAGCAGCAGCTTCGTCTTCCTGCGCATAGAAAAACTCCTGTTCAGCCGTGGCCGGGTCCTCAAAGTCCTCCGAAACCCGTTTCCCGAAACGAAAACGGGCAAATTCTAAAAACAAAAAATGGAGTTCCCAAAGTTGAATTTTCCATTTATGAAAAAGTGACGAAAAATTTTCATTTCACTTCAGCAGAACCTCTAATGGTCTACATTCCGCCATCGCTTTATGTCACTCTTCTTCAAAATAGTGGTTGAAAAAAAAAATCTATATTTTTTGCTTCCCTGACGAATTTTCAGCAACCTAATAGTCAGTAGTGGACGTGGTTTGAGAAATCAGGCTGTAATAACTGCATGGAATGTGCTTAACGTACTGTATTATCATGCAGTAAATTGCATTTTTTCACACCCCAAAATAAAATCCTATAACCCTAGATGATCTTCGTCACGATTTCTTAATTATTTTTTCTACAGTCACACTTACTCAAAAAAAAAAAAATCAGAGGCCACGTCCAACTGGGACGATAACCCTGTTATTACTGCCAGCCTCATTTCTCTCCAGAAACTTCAAGTTTTATTTTTTTAAAGCTTTCACAGGGTTCATATCGTATACACACTGTAGAATAAAATGGAAATGTGGCCCAGCTATCCTATTTTTTTTAAATTTTCTTCCCATGGAAGCAATAGTCGTCGTCGAAGCAGAAGGACGCGTATCTTTTTGAGGACAAGTCGGCACCGGCCCAGGAGTTTCAGGAGGCTTTGGGCAAAGGGCTTTGCTAGCCGCTGCCCATTACCCGATCGTTTCCCGAACCTGAGCCTGGCCCCGCGGGTTTGCACTCTGGACCTGGAAAAACCACCACCGCCACCACCCGCGCGTTTGCCGAACCGCAAACGGGTTCCGCGGACGTTGAAACCCATGGGGCGGGTTCGTTTGCCGAACCGCAGCCGGGTTCCTCCGCTCCTGGGCTCCAGCACTATGTAGTCGTCGGAAAAGGTTGAGGACCCTTCGCTGGGGTTCGATCGGGTTAGCCAGGGGTAATCTCGGTCATCGCTGTTGTCCAGTATGCCTTGCTGCTGATGGTCACTGTTGCTGGTCATTGCTGGCCTGCTGTAGGCATCTTCGTTCAACAGGATTTGCACTGTATAGAGCAGGGGGAAATGCAATTGTTACTTAGGAAATGCAATTGTTACTTAGGAAATGCAATTGTTACTTAGGAAATGCAATTGTTACTTAGGAAATGCAATTGTTACTTAGTTTGGATGTGGAAATCTTGATTGCACCTTGTGAACGCTTAAAAGCGGCAAATAAAGTGTTCTGTTCATTCATTCATTCATTCATACTTGAAATTCATAACTAAATACAGTTTTGGACTAGCATAAAGAAATATACTGTAATTAGATACGTGGTCTCATTGTTGAAATTGGTTTGGTTAAGACTAAGAGTGAGTGCATTTATTGATTATAATATTTTAATCCTGATATCCAGGGAATGGTTTTGAAGATATATTTGAGTTGCCTCTCTTTGGACAGGTTTGAATTCATTTGATCTAAATTTTCACAAAGCTACTGTGTTTGGAGTTTCATATGCACATGTCACAGCAGTACAGCACCATACAAAGAAAATTGGTTATTTAATTTTTATATTTGATCTGGTTTTCTTCTATTGTTGCTTCAGTGAACTTTGACGTTGGATGAGGAGAAAAAAAGTTAGTCTGGCTAAAAATGTCAATGGATAATGCTGTCCTTATCAGTTTACTTGACATCACATGATTTACAGGTGGTGCCCAGCAATTCAACCATAATCTTTTGCTGGAATAGGGTCAAATTTTGAAGCAGTCAAATTGCAAGACAACATCAAATGAAATGTTTTCTACATTGTACTCAGTGTTTTGAATGTCTATGGTGTGGATTAACTTGTGGGGTAGAGGTCAAATTGTGAGTTGGCCTATCAGCAAATTTGACAGTCAACTTGTGGGATGGACAGATTAAGGAGTGTTCAAATTGCATGGTACCACCTTTGCTATACATTGCACAGTTCTCTCAAAAGAACCTTCCACTGCCTACAAGCCATGTTATGGCTTCATTGCTTCTATCCCCTTCTAATTTTCAGATTTTGTGAAACCCTCTATCATTTAATAACAATTGCAAGAAGTTACAGCATGCAATGCAGTGCTGATCAACAAGTTCTGTACAGCGTCCACCATGCATGAATTAACGCTGTTCAATGTACAAGAGGTCTAATAAATGTTTGAAGAAAATAAATTCTATCATTGTACAATTCAGCTGAAATTTTTTTTTTCAGAATGGAAAACATTCTTGGGTTTGAGAAAAAATTCAGCCCTCTCGCTCAAGAGAGGGTTCAAGTAGCAAGAGTGACCCTGGCAGTTTTCTGACCTCAGAAATACTGAAAAATCTACAAATTCTGTGCAGAAGTCAAGGTGTGTGTCTTACTATAGCTTGAGGGTGCATATTATAATTGAGGGAATAAGTTATGGTCATTACATTGGAAAATGTGTGCATTCTGGGCCTATACTTCAGTATTTTACAAATGCAAAAAATGCTTTCTCACAATTCTTGACTTGGGGAAGGTGATGATTGATTTATTAATTTACCAGCTTTTTTTGCCCCATGTGTGTATTCACAAGGTTCACAGAAATGTTCTCCACATTTCACACACATCCATTTAACACATTCTGGTCCATCAAACACAATTAATTATGTAGGTAACAAAAGAAAAGACATCGGAATAAATATACAAATGCATGAATAGACACAAATTGCTTAATCCTTTTTTCCATAAGGATGAAGAAACTCAAAGCACAAGGCAATTACTGAGCACAAATTTAAAAGGGCAAGGTGTTCTTGGATAATTTTGAATTGATTAAACAATGTGGGAAGGATACCAAATTTTTTCAGGCAAGGTAGATTAAATCTTGTGACTGTTGCTTTCATAGTATTTTTCTCTTGAAAAAAAAAACTTGAAAATTGTCTTTCGGATTCGCAATGATGATTATCGGAAAAACAAGAATTATACTCACTTGCTGCTCCACTATTGTCGTCGTCAGGCGAGCCGAAGAAATGCAAGTGGGCGCCGGACACGAACACGGCCGGAAACAGGAAGAAGAGTGTCATGGAAGCCATAAAACTTCCCATCCCACTTGGGACTAATGAACCCCTTTGTCTGCCTTGGACAGAGGATGATGAGTAGCCCGGTTTGCAAGCCCAGGGATTTGCTGAAGTCATCCCGGATCTGGTTCTTGGTCTGCTTCGAATCTGTGTAAATTGTCGCACCAAAAAATCAGGAAAAATCAGTTTAAAACTATATATTTTCCAATGTCCTGCTTTCAAAGCATGGCGTTGTTTGAACGGACTTCCTGAATACGCCTGAACATTTTCGGTCACATATGTGAGATGTTATTCTTCAATCCACATTTTGAAGACTCATTGAACGGATGCATAAATCTGTCTTCAAAATCGGTCAAATTAACGCCATGCTGTCGATACTCGTAATTTATTATAAATAAATAAACACTCAATTTAAAGTTTCGTTCATGTCATGTCATTTATATCAGCCGATAAATTCTGAAAATCTTAATATATTAATATTATTACAGAACGAGATTTATGCGTATTACACTGAACATCTTGGAGGATGTCATTCAAGATGTGAAGCGAGAAAAATGCGACAGTGACCTCTGTGGAAATTTCCTTAAGTTGATGCTTTTTGAAATCTTCCTTTACAAATTTATCTTTTAAATCGCTCAATAGACGCAATGAGGTCTACTTTGTAATGCCTGAAAAGCACAATTTAATTTTCCTTCCAGTCGTGTTACTTATTTCAGTCTATTAATTCAGAAAGCCTATGCATTATTGCAAAACCAGGTTTATGTGTAGTACTGAACATCAAAAAGGATGTCATGCAGGGATTCCTGAAAAAATCCTGAAATGGCTTACATATGTATTTATCTCTATGTAAACAATTTATCTTCAAAATCGGTCGAACACAATGCGTGTTTTACACTTTGTAATTTCTAAAAGACCTAATTCACTTCTTGGTGAAATCATATGTCATTTATTTTAGGCCGTCAGTTCAGATAAGTTTAATTGTCACAGAAAAAAATTTATTTGAAGTACAGAACATGATTTAAGGATGTCATTTAGCGATTTCTGTAAAAATTTTCCCGAATGGGGAAATGTACAACAGAGCATATTGCAGCACGGATCATTCACTCCATCACGGGTCAATGCGAGAAAAATGTTCCCAAAAATGTGACCCAAGTCGCCTGCAGAAGTTATGACCTGGGAACAATTCCGAGTAATTTCCTCTTTATTTTTGTCCCAATACTCGATGTATGAAGGCTGAAACACGTGGGTTTTCTCCTCTTCTTGTTCCGTGACCATTGTCATGATGATCACGGTGCTGGGTGAAAAGCGTTATATTGGAAATTAGTTTTTTTTTTTTTCGTGCGTGCAGAAAATTGCACCAAGGGGTCGGAATGAGATGATGAGAGCAATTCGGCGTATTTCCCTAGGGATGGAAGAATTCTCGTATCAGTCGCCCAATTTTTCTTTTCAGAGCTGTGGAGAATAATCTGGTTATAGAGGTTCGTCGCTTATTAGCAAGGACATTGAGTCCCCCCCTTTTTTTTCTCCTGTCTCTCGTCTGAAATGTACCAAGTACTGCAAAGGTAGTTTTTCTTTCTGATTTTTTTGAAAATGAATTTGAAATGTTCTAGCAGATATCAGGGAACTTATAGAATAGGAAATGCACTCCAAAAGGTTGATGGTTTTGTTCCTGTATAATATGCTACAAAGGAAATGACCTTTCATGTCAGGAATAAACCCAACAAATGAAGATTTGAGTAGTGAACCTTATTTGAAAGAGAATTTGAGGATGGAAGTTTGAATGAAACTCAGGAATTTGGTCGGGCTACGACCGGGGTGAGAACACCCTATTATAACGTTGATATATTTGTAAAAAGCAAAGATTGACACTCAATGAAATCGCTCGCGAAGTCTTGGATGAACCGCACGCTCAAGAGGCAGAAACCGGACTGTAATGATTATTGTTAATTTGGAGAACAGGTTTTGTCAGGATGTTCCTGCTCTTTCATCCTAATCGTCTCTTTACGTCGGAACCTCCGAAGGCATTCAATGCACTCTTGGCTCCAAAGGGCTCCAAGAGTGCCTTTCACCTTAATGTCCTCAAGGACAAGAATTTGGGTTCTCAATCTGGCTTTTCTAAAAATAGGACTAAAAAATTCGCGACATTTCACGCAATCTTGCTACAGTTGAGCGCACAGGTTCTTTTTTTTTTCTATACTGTATGAAGCAAAAGGCAAATCTTTATTCATTGAATAATTGCAAAATTGATATTGGGACCCTATGTGAATTGGCATAAATTACTGTAGCATAAATTACTGAAAATTACTGTAGTGTAAATATATTTTGGTTAAAGCGTCACCATAGAGCACCTTATTTTTTATGTCCAGCATTCCACAATATGAGAATTTAATCATTGAATGACAGGATTCTCAAAACTTGATAAAAATAAAGTATTTTCCAAATTGTAAATGACTGGAATGACGTGTTTACTTCCTATGATTTCTCCTCAAAGATTCTTTCCAAATGGTTTAATCCAGTGTTCCCCAAACAGGACCAGTGCCAGTTGGCAGAAGTTTTTTTGTGAGACATTTTCTGCAACATATGTTAGGGACTGCGGCGCACAATTAATATTTAATGATAAATTGATCTTCTTAACATGCAGAAGAAACCTCTAATGAACCTCCAAAGCCACCAGTCCCAAATATCCATTATATATAGTTGATCCATTGGTTCTAAATTTTTGCAACAATCAGAATTTTTAAATGCCTGCCATATAGAGTCTTGCCAAAAAAAAATTTGAGTTTGCAAAAAAAAAATTAATTTTTCCAGTCCCTGGGCCCAAAAATGTTGGAGAAACACTGGTTTAATCAATTAAAATGTTTCCTACTTGTGCTTTGAGTTCTGCCCATGGATTTCCTTGAGTTTTGATTTTTTAAACTCCCAGAAAAATGATGGCAATTAATTATTGATACGTTTGTATTCACTGCGATGCATTTCATTTTGATAGTACCTATATGAATAAGGAATTATTTTTTATAGCTCGTGATGCGTTGAATGAATATGTTAGGGGATGCAGGGAATTTTCGTGAACTTTGAGATTGTTAATAAGCTGCAAATAAAACTTAAATGTCGCATAATCAATAAGATAGCGAAAAAAATGTTCCTGGCAGCATTTGGATGCAACCGCTTCCGACTCTGAAAAAATTTGAAATCACCCATGTTTTCAGTAATGGCTCGCAGATGTCGCTTGAATATTGCACCGTACCGCAATAAGCAAAACAAACTCTGAACGAACCTATGCTAATCAAATCTGTGCTATAAACAAGCCCGATGAAATGACAAATACTATCAAACCCGGTCAAGGTCGGAGAACCCAAAGGGCAAGGTTCTGTGCTACACGAGTAACCCCGTTGGAGTGAGGGGCCCAGAAATGGGGTTCCAAGGTGTCGCAGCACCCACGAAACCCGCGCCAGTAAAATTGAGCTGTGGCCCAATCGGCGGGCTTCAAAATTAAATCTCTAAAGCTCATTGACACAAGGATTATCTCCTTGATGGTATTTGCTCAGTTCTGGTATTTATTAAAAAACTGCTTTCGGGAAGTTGGCATTTATTTTTAAAAGCCTCATTTCTTTCGAAAAAAAAAATCACCTCTAATTCGGGCATTTTCGAGGAAAATTTCAAAATTGTGAAAGGATTATAAAAACTCTTGAAATATAGTGAACATGTCAGCAATCAAAAAATTATATTCATCTTCACTTAGTGTATCTTTCTGGCACACGTGGTTTCTTTCCGGAATTCTTGATTGTAAAAGTCTGAAGGAAAAGAATGTTGAAAAGGAATTTCAAGTTGGCCAACCATTTATTATTGAAACTAATGCTCATATATGAGGTTGTATCGTACTGTATGTTGAAGACCACACCTATTTAAAAGTTTCAAGAGCTATCTTACTTGCTTTTTTTGTGGTCCCAGTCTACTTTTCCCTTGCTAATTTTGAGATCGATGAGCATTGTTTATGTAGAATAAAAATAGCCTCCGCCATAAAAAGTGCACTCAGAATCATACTAGATATGCAATTAAATGTTAATATATTGTATAAAACACCCTAGGTCGAGTGAAATTATTCTGAAAAAATGATCAATTCTTTGAAACTCTGCATGTATTTGCGAACTGTCAATTAATGGACTATATTGCAACTAAAAAAAAATTTTTCTGCATTCTAATGTCGAACTCAATTCATTTCTCTTTTTCTTTGTATTCAGCAACATTTCTCAGTAGAAAATTTTTTGAAGATTAACCAGAAATCCTCTTGTTTTATGCGTGTGTGTGTCGAGAATTCCGGAGTATTTTCCAAAGGAATAAAAACTAAAACGCCGAAATTATATTTCCGTTTGACTCATTTTTCTCCAGCTGTTATTGCTTTCCGTTTTTTTCGCACATTCTTGGGTGAATATAGGAAAGCAATCAGCTTGACCTTAACAAATCAAATACAGAAGCGAAAAGGCTTTTGAAGAAAACACTTTCGAGATACAGTATTGAGTCGTTTGCCTTGAATGTGCGGTAAATCTTCGCCGGAAATGCGCGTGCATTTCTGCGAGAAAAGCTAGCTAAAATGCTGCTGCCGATTTGCAGAGCGTTGAAATGGGAGCAGATGTTTAAGATTTCATCTCTTGTTTTGCTTACTCTGTTTCCCGCAATTTCTTTTATTTTTCTCTTCATTATTATTTTTGTTATTTCCGTTTTCGCGTCCATTACGCTGATGAATCAGGGCCTGGGCAAACGGAGTGATTGCGGGCACCAATCTTGAGGCCTTTCGGACCAGGATTTCGTGTCTGTTTTCGAATCTGCGATTTATCTCGTTTATTACCCGCACTGAAACATTTCATCGATTCTACGAAGGGTTTTTCGAAAGTACAGCGATTTAAAATAAATCTATTTGAGGTTATAATGAAAGTTGGTCTTCAATGTGCAATTTATTTTTCTTATTGACGCGTGAATAATTTTTTTATCATGGTACTTCCGAAAAAAAAATGTTCGAACTCTTGTGTTTTGAACACATATTAGCAT